CTCCTCTATGCTGATTAATCTTCCAGCAGCGATAAACAAACGATGGATTGCGCAATATAGAAATCGAGCCTCGTCGTGGTGATTGCGTTCGTGCGGTGATTCTAGATAGGCGGAGAGAGAGAGAGAGAGAGAGAGAGAGATCGATCGTTGGTCCGGCAACAACGTGTCTCGGGCCCGTTTTAATTTTCTATCGACCGGTAATCTCGACCGGTGGACGCACGAAGGCGATTGCTTTTACACGAAAGGGTCGTGATCCCGACTCGAATCACGATTTAATCCATGACTCGTGATTGCCACGCCCGGATCGAGAACGTGCGGCACACGTCAGCCCTGACCTTTTCGATACTCGTGTTACCAATATCGATACAACCATATAACGATCCGTCCGTATACTAGCTGCAATTGGAATCGAACAATTAGGCAACTGCACGTGTCGCGAACTTAATTATCGTCTCATTTCTTTTGCAATCATTTTTTATCATTGTCCGTGTATTATGAAAAACAACTTTCTAACTTGTATCTCGTTTAAAAACAGGCAATGAAAATAATGAAATACTCGAATTCACCCTCGATGGATTACGTACTTGTTTCGCAGTCATGGGGGTAGGAAAGTCGATGGGAATTCGTTCGAGAACAATTCCCACAAAAGCTATCGCGCGAGGCCCCTTTCGTTTGCGCTTCTCCACCCCTGCGTTGTTTGGGCTCTCGGACGTAACGCATGCGGCCGAGTCGCGTGTCGCTGCACGTGTGACCGAGAGTCCTTTCGCCTTTTTAAGGGCCACTGCCACGCGTGGTTAACTGCCATGGGTTCCCACGATCTTGGATCCACCTTCTGGACAATCCCCGTCGCGGGAGTTATCGCGAACGGGGGTTGCTCAGCCAGCGAATCGTTCTTCACGCATTCTGCCTTCGCTATACGAACACCCTGCGCTTCCGGTTGCCCGGTGTTCGCTTGTCTCGTAGATGGATCTGCTTGCTGCTTGTAGATATAGCCAATGGAATATTCTTATAGGGCTTATAGGGCTAATTGCTTTAGTTTTCGAGATATACTGTATTAAAAATAAAAATAAAAATAAAAATAACAATAATTGGCAGAAACGAAACAATGGTCAGTTGGCAGCTGGTAGGTGCTTTCTTTTCGCACCTCCAGCCCCGTTGAATCGACCTCATTAAGAGCATATACGAAAAACACTGTCCTGGCTGTCGACTTTCGGCTATTAACCGAGCAATCGGATCGGTCAACGCGTTGTGAAAGTCGAAACGAGACCGTTTTGCCGGAGAAAAAAAAAACGCGTCGATGCGTACAGTGTTAATCGATTGATTGCCGTGAAACTTGTTCTCGGGTTCTTTTCGCGCTACGCTTTCACGACAAGTTGATTCGAAGACGTTCCTTATTCGACGGAACGCGGTTACTCGATTGGATAATTGATTTAATTAAAGAATCACATCAACAAGTGGATAATTGTTTCGGATGATTAAACGCGACAGCAGTGCATTCGTTCGCCGATCCGAATTTAACTTAATATTAACTGGCGTAATAAAAATATTCCTTTTGAAACGGAGTAAAAATAAAAAAGAAAGATAAAAAATAGAGGATAAACGGAATTCCAAAGAATCTTTGAGCCGTGTGGCGCGTTGGAAAGCGTTGTAAGGTTGCCCGCAACTATTTTTCTTACCACGGATCGTTTATTCACGCACGATCGAATTCCGCGGTCGGGGTCTGGCTTTTCGATACAAAGAATCGTTCGATGGATATCGCGTCCCGTCGATCGAGCCACCACGAAAAATAGAGTAATCAGGTCAAGTTTGCGCGTCCGGTTTTCAGCCACGCGAGCACCGTTTTACACGGTAATTAACGGCCGAGGCACACCCACGACTCATTAAGCCTGACCAGCTTGGATGTCAATTTGCCGGCTCGTTGCTCGTCGAACACGCGCACGCGTTACACGGCTCGGATCAGTTTCCTGCGAGTAGCTACGTTTCAAAGAAGGTCGATTCTTTCCCGGGATACGATCGAATTCGGTTAGATCGATCATTTACCATCCTATTCGATTCGTTCGAAATGATTATTAATGAACGAGTAGAATGAAGATCGAGGATCGGGGTTTAGATTCGTATTTACGGATCGATTCATCATCGAATAACAGCGTATCGCCAAATTGCTCGGGTTAATGGTTTCCGATCTTCTCCGAGAAAGTCGAGTTTAATCGATTCCCGGGCGAACTGATCTCGCAGGGGGTGACTCGTTCCTTTCCAGACGCGGCATTTAATTAAACCTGGCGTTTCGGATTTTTACGAGTTACCTTGCCGCGGATCAAAGGATCCGAAGTGTCGAAACTCGCAGCATGCTGCCAAACCGGTTCACTTACATTTTCATTTCTTTTTTTTTTCCTTTCTTTCACCAGCTTTAATTAAGTAAGGAAAGATCTTTCGATGTACCTACATTGATATACATAGATTACAAAAGTAAAAATTCAATTAATTCTAGAAGAAAACAAAACGGGAAGCACCCTTAACATCATGCAAGAAAAAGAAACTTTGCGCCATTATTTTTTGCCACCTGTTTTTCTCCAGCTTCCCTCTAATATATATGCAGATTACTGGTGCAAGGCGTTCAGATTTTACACAGAAAGAACTCTGCTTTTTCTCGCAAGCGCGTTAGATTAGAACGCGACCCAAGGACGGTTAATAAATATCGTTCTGCGGTTAGAAAGATTTTTCCCGACGGAAGTAGCTTCCCTTGGCAAATTTCAAATTAGTTTCGAGTTGGTTGGTATAAATGATTCATGTGTCCTGGTTCGCCTAGCCTGGACTTAATACGTATGCAAATCAGTAGCGCGTTCGTTCGAATTTCCAGCGAATAGAGGATCGAGCGAGAGAGCTCTCGGTTGTTCCCCGTTTACCTGCATCGTACCGGGGGTTGAGGCTTATTCATAGTCTGGGAGGCACGCGTAAAGTGGAATGAACGAAGGGGGAGGACCGGTGATACGCGTTGGAATCTCGATGTACGAGCGGATGGAAAGGTTGATATGTAGGAAATTTCGTGTCTGGGGAATTGGAGATGCGTCGCGTCGTTGACTCGACGTTGTATAGATTATTGAAGTGAAAACTTCTTTAGGCGCGTTGAACGGATTTTCGGTAGGGGAAAATCTTATGGGTTCCCGTCACCGACATGCTCGAAATGACGATCTACTGCTCTGGTACCAGACTGGCGCACGCGCTATAAGGGTAACGTGTTGTGCAACATTAGTGCTGTGTACAGTAAAATCTGGATAAATGCAACCAAGATTGGAACCCAGTGGTTGCATTTATCCAAGCGAGGTGTCGAATCTCGGGTTACACGCGTTGACCAGCCAAGCGTGAACGTAGAAAGGGACAGACAGTGGCGAAAAGAGAGAGGTCCGATGATGAAAGGAAAGAGCCGAAACGTATCGGTGTGACTAATACTAATTGAACTATAAAACTTTTTTATTTTTGACTTTTTTTTAATGAAACTTTTACCAGCGGATTGGTGACATTTTTCTTATTAAAATGGTACCAAACACGATATAGTTTCAATTATAATTACTTACTTGCTAAATTAAAGGTTGGCGAAAAGCAACAGAGATCGAAATCAAAACCAGTTGCGGTCTGGTTTCAAAGATTTCATTTATCCAGGCAAGATGGCGATTCTGGGCATTTAATGTTGCATTTATCCAAGCGAGGTGTCGATTCTGCGTCCGTACACATGTTTTGTATTCAGCCGACATGCCGATTTTTTTTTTGCATTGTTATTTTCAAAAATATAATGGCAAAGTTTGATTTTAAATGGTACTATATATTTTTCTTTCGATCATTTGATAGTGTTTTTGAAGTCGAATTCATTAAGCTAGCATGTATACACTTGATTTTCATTTGTTTTCGAGATATTGCGGTAACAAAGGAGATTTTTCACGGGAAAAATTCACTTCAGTCGGAAATATCAGCAGGGGTCCTGTTCGCGCGTGGTCTTAAAAATTAAATTTAACTAATTTTAATGATTTTAAATCGCACTATACGAACTCATTAATTACGTAGATTACCATACATTTCATCAGTACGATTGACACGCATGTTCGCTTAAGTGAGGCATACAGAAGAAAAGGTTCAAATGGGACTTTTCTTCTTGTTACACATATTTTCACGCACACAACTGCAGTATGCACCCCCTTCGAGATACTGACGAGAGGAAAGAGCTCGGGCCCATTGATACTGGTATGGCGATTTCATAGTTTTAAGTTTTCACTTCTGTCGACAGTCCCCATGACTGTTTTCCATTTTTTTGGAACCTGGCACGTTGTATTTCTAAAAGACTGTTTAAAAAGTTGAATATACAAACGCCCCGTAGTATGCGCAGCGTTATTCAGTGATCCTGGTGTTCGGTATTGTCCTATGAACGAGCGTATCGTTCCGGTTCACGCGGAGGATACGATCTCCTCTCGCGTTATACGAAGCGGAACAGAGCTGCGCGCGGCAGCGTCGTTTCTGCACAGCCTCGATCAATGGCTGCTACGCCATTAAGCTGGAATTCAGGTGTATTAACGATGCCAGGGGAGCCAGCCTCTGGCCACCCGGTAGCGCTAATGGCAGTACCGGACCGTTCGTTAGACAGATTTTATTTCGCCTATCTTACGTACCTACGTATGTAGCTAGAACTCTGTCAGCGAGTACTACATACTCGGTTACGGCATTGCCTTCTGAGAAACGTCTGCTCGCGATTGCGTTTCGATGTCAGCCGCTTTGCCGAACGATAAGATCCGCCTCTTCTCTATGCGCCTATGAAATTCATTGCGCCTTTATCGACGCGTACTCTCTAATGGGTAGGCAAAGTAATGAGAAAAGGTAATTATCGGACAAAGATAACGCCGCGTTCGCCGTTCGCTTGGCGGATGGTTTATCTCGATAAGCATCCAGGAAATCGGATAGCTAATGATTTTCAACCTCATGCTTTTAGTCTAATTCGAAACTGGTTGCGTTTCCAGGTGGTTCTGCCACTTCGACGACGATAATTACGTGAACGTGCCACGGCTGCTGAAGCTTCTGGACAACTACAATCCACGGGAGGATTGGTACCTGGGCAGGCCCTCGATACCGGCACCCTTGGAGATCATCAGGCAAGGACCGGAACCCTCCAAGAGACCGGTGAGTTTAATTCAACGAATCGCCGAGAATCAAACCCGTTCTCCTTTCTCGAGACGTCGACTTTTTACCCGATTCCGCGAAAATATCAGCGAGACCACCTTCGAGATGAATCGGATCGTTTAATTTAGATTTTCATCGCGAAGAATTTTCAAGAGATCGTCGCGTGAGGTCCGTCTATTTTTTCTCCTAGTATTTGTAACCATACGAAAGTAGGGCAACCACCCGAAAAGAGAGAGACTTCGCCTCGATTCTTTCTCCTTTCATTTTAATAGGTATCGCATCGATCGAATTGTTCGATGATTATTTCTCGGATCACCGAGTACATGCTTATTACCCGGCTGCAACGGACACGACAGCTTTTTACGGTAGAATCTCGTCGAGTCGAGCCGTGAAATCGTGATTTTCCTCGCGAGAGACACGATCGTCTCCTCGTGTCTCCCGAACGGTCAATTTTCTCAGCTTCTTACACGCCCCATTATGTCTTTCTTTCTCCTCGCTTCTCAAAATCTGCGAGAAATTACATACTCGAAGATGTTTGGTAGGTTTCTTTAAAAATCTCGCCCGTATCTCGTATCGTTGCTCGGAGAAATGGAGGTGAAAAGAAAATGGCCAACCGAGACGTGTGCTGCGAAAACGGATGGGAGGGGATAGACTTGTAGGAAAGGAGGTCGGCTGTCAGAGGTGTATAAAAGTGTAGGAAGGTCCGATCAAAAATCGATAAAAGGCCTGTCTTACGAGCGGGCTTACGAGATACACGATGCGATTTGGATTCCGCGAGATATGATCGCTCGAGTCCGGCAGCCGACAGGTAAAACGGGCCTGCGATCTTATCGCGCCACGGTGTCATGCTATAAGCCTATTAATCCTTTTTCCCTTGACTGAAAGGAAAAAAAAATAGACGAAGAAGAAGAAAGGGGGAATAAAAGGATCACCGTTGTAGGACGGCCTCCTTCTGTCTCGTGTTCTCGAAAAAAAAATTTCTCCAAGCATTTATCATCCGCTTATTGTTAGACAAATTAATAGCGGCTTTGATCCGCCTGTCGCTTTAGACAACTTTCGTTCTCTCCTTCGTTTCCTGACGATCCGTCGAGGAAATCAGACGAAATTGAAAGCGTTTAGGTGGACAATTTATCCAGGTTGTTTCGAACGTAAGAAATTTCAAGCGTAAGCAATCGGGAAGAAAATTTTCAGCGCCGCATCTTCGCGGAGGTAAACGAAATCGAAACCGGTAGTCACGAGATGAGACGATAAATCTTGTAAAAGCCAGACGACTCGTTTCTGCTCGCGTAGATTAAACGTTTCTTATATAAACGACCGATCAGGCTCATTCGTCAACAAGCTACTTATCTCTGTCCCCGATTTCTGCTCCAGTCCCTCGTTAACCCTCTAATCGTTGATCCTTTTTCCATTTTTCCTTCCTCCATCGTCGCTCCAACTTTCGTCCAGCTGTTCGAGATAAATGGTCAGAATTTATTAAGGACCGTCAATTAAGATTCTTCCGAATCTCTTCGCGCTAACCTGACTTTATCTTTTAATAGCTAAACAAAAGCATTAAAACTATGAAACTTTGATTTCTTATATCTCCCCCTACGATATATCCAAGTGATTTTTTCTGCATATTTATCGAACTTTCGTTCGAACCTTTTATTAAAAACCATTGCATCATGCTTGCGTAAGAGTTTCTTTCTTTTTTCTTTTTTAATCTTGTCGGTCTTACAACATATTCGGCAATCCGGTCAGTCGCGTCTCGAGTGAATGGACATTGTTCGGTGGACACGGTTGGCATAAATGGTCCAAGGGTCGATTCTCGAGGTTCGATGTTTTTCAGTCTTCCTCTCGTGGTCCTCTTCATTCAACCTTCTTACGGAGCCGGTCGAACCAGTATCCTCGTACATACATACATAGAGAACCCACCCCTCGGCGTAACTTTGCAACCTGCCTATCGATAACGTGCACGGCTAACCCACTTAAGTATTGCTTGCTCGTATCCCAGATTACCGTTCGTTTAGATTCGCCAGCAACTTTATTAAAAGCAGCCGGCAACATTCGAGGAAGCCTGTAATTTTCATTGAATGAAAAATAAGACGAGTATACCGGGCCTTCTCGAATGGCGGTACCATAATTTCGAAGAATTTCGAAAGAAAACGGGGAATGGAATTTTTCTGGTGTAATTTAGTAGGGAAGTGGATCAAGGTTTGATGAATTTTAACGGAGAAGAATTTCTCTACGGTAATAATGTGTACACGTTTGGTAAGCCAGACCGTAATAATGGTCCGGAGAATCTCATTCCCTTCTCGTGCCCTCCCATAAGTGTTCTCGTTCCGCGATATTTGCTTGCATTCCAACGAATACCGCGTGTACTTTACGTCGGTGCTGGATTTTACCTTAGGGAAGAGATATAAAAAATTAATCTGTTGCTTTTGGGAAACAGGGTAAACTAATTTGACCGTTCGGCATCTTGTTTGAAAACTCGGCATATTAATTTTTATCGAGGAGCAGTGGAATATGTAGGTAGATGGCGAACCGCGATCGTACTCGTTTCTGCAGGAATAGGATGCTGTTCGTGTGGCGTTCACCGAGGTATCCGCCGACCCCCCATGGGTGTGGTACCATCTTCCAGCCGAGATTATGGTCTCGGTATGGTGGACGTTAACTCCCCGGGGGCTTCGCGTACTCGTATATTATATTTGTCCGAGGAATACTCTCTCGCACTCTTTCCATCTCGTCCTATTCTCGTCGCGCAGCCCTATTATTGCTCATGCCAAGTCGAACAGCTTCGGATCGACGATTGAACGAGCATTTATGGGGAATCGCAGGAGCGACGATCCGTGACAGAACTGAATTGATTTCCATTTTTCATTTTCATCCCCCTGGTGGAAATTAGCGAAATTGCAATTAGAAATATCGGAAAGTAAATAAACTGGACGGTGGGTAGAAAGTCCGTAGGACCAGCTATGGTAGAAAGACGTGCAACTAGGATAGTGGCAATAATAAAGTGGCTGTGTGCCAGCGCGAGCTACACGGCTCCATAATAAGTTCCTGGTTTACGGTTCATCGGCAGGTTATCCCGAGGCTGGATCAGCCTACCGGCCAACTGAAATCACCGGCTCCTGCATCGTCTCTTCTCTTTTACCCTTGCCTCGGCTTTCTTCTCGTTCCTTCACGGGATCACCCTTTCACCAGGGGCGTGGTGAGCGCTATATCCCGGTGCCGATGCAATCGTAATTACCGTCGTCCTGGCGAAAGAATGTATGCTGGTCAGCTGTGCAGGATGATGGCTGCGGCCGCGGTCGGTGCAGTTGATTTTCTTTGAGACAACCTCGATCTTTTTATTCTAATCGTAAGTCTAACGGACCGATTGAAATTCAAACTATAGGTTATAAGAGAAGGATCGAAGGATGTACCCGAATCGGTTCTCTCAATTAAAGCGGTTGGTAGCAGATAATTATCGGCTGGCAGGAATCGACGGATAGCCTTAATGAAACGTCTCGTATTTCACGAGAGAGCTCCACCTTTCGCCCGTGATTTCCGTCCTTATTCAACGGTGCCTCTCTCTTCCTCTCTGCGTATCCGCCGCGGAATGATTAATACGGCCACTGGAGAGCTGCAGGTTTACTGCTTTCCCGCTGTGCCCACCTACGGTTCTCCCCTTTTTTCCCTTCTCTTTCCATCGTCTTTTCCTCGCCGCGCCGCGTGAAAGCCGCTTCTTTCGATCTTCTTTTTCCACGCAAACGCTAGCAGCCATTTCCTGTCTTCAAACTGACAACAATTAGATGGTAAAATGAAATTTTTGCTAAAAAGCCTTAGCTAAGGATCCGTAAAATTTGATAAAAAAGGCGGAGAAATATTCTCGTTTCACGCCGGATCCCTCCTCTCTATTATTTCATATTCTAAGCTCATTAACCGGTCGATAAATCGGTGGAAAGGATCTGACAGGGGCTAAAATGGAAACACGGTTAACCGGAGATCGGTGGCCGATCCCGAAACTAATTAACAGGTAGACGTTGACGGCGCGGTGAGCTAGTCCCGAATTTCCATCCACTCCCCTACTCTTTCGACGATTTAAACGAGCCGAGACAGTGCCGGCTCGTTCATCAAAACAGATCTCCCTCGACACGGGATTTACTGCTAATAGCGCGTCGAATCGGTAATCGAATGCATATTAATTAATTAATTAATCAGATTTCGAAAAGACTCCAGTTTCGGTCCTTTCAATCGTCGATTCCTTACGAGGGGAACTACCCAAGTGTTACGCTTACTTATTAATGAAACTTTGCCACCTTGTAGACCTCGTCGCCCTGAACACGCCTATACCACCTTTTGAGGGCAGACAGCTAATTGTTTAAAAAATATTAACAATTAAAGTTAGTTACTACTTACATTGAGAAGTATGACAAACTCACACATACAACTCGCAATCTAGAGATCCACGGTTCAAATCCTTGGTTCCCAACATTTTTTTTTTTAATGATAATTTGTCTCTTTTTGAATAACTATTACATAAAAATTATTACAAAAAAAAAAAAAAAAAAAAAAAAAAAAAAACTGGCCCGGGATTTGAACCGAGAACCTTTAGATTACGAGTCATGTGTTTAACCACGGAGCAGATCCGTGACTTGCAATTTGAAGATCCTCGGTTCAAATCCTTGATTCCCAACATTTTTTTTTTTATTTTTATGATAATTTTTATGTAATAGTTATTCAAAAAGAGACAAATTATCATTAAATAAAATAAAAAAAATGTTGGGAATCAAGGATTTGAACCGTGGATCTCTAGATTGCGAGTTGTATGTGTGAGTCTGTCATACTTCTCAATGTAAGTAGTAACTAATTTTAATTATTAATATCTTTTAAACAATTAGTCGTCTGCCCCCAAAAGGGGGTATAGGCGTGTTCAGGGCGACGAGCTCTACAAGGTGGCAAAGTTTCATTAATAAGTGAGGGTAACACTTTGATAGTTCCCCTTGTTAGTTATCTTTGACATTGAAATTTTCTTCTATTCTCGAGGAAACAGGGAGAGTCGCATCGGCCTTGATCTTGCATTAGAAAGGTCAGGCTGCGCGGAGTTAAAGCAAACCGTTGCATCGCTGATTCCTGAGGGATGTCGGCTGGTTCTGCTCGAACGACTCTGCTGTGCTTTTCCTGTTGCTGTCTCACAGCAAAAAGGGAAAGAAAGGTCGAGGCTACAATTTCACGAGGATATTTAGGTGGAACGGCTTTCGTGTCTCTGGCGTAAACAATGCAGTTTTAGGATGATTGCAAGCCCTGACTAACACCTATCCGATCGTTCGTCAGAAATTCGCAGCCTGTTCGCAGGCTGGAGGCACGCGGATGCGCGCCACATGTCTCGCATTCCTTGCTCCTTCTCTCGCTCCCTCCTTCCTGTCTCCACCGATCCTGTGATCCTTCCTCCTCACCTCTTCAACGTTCCCGGAACTATTAATTAGCCTGTTCTTTGCTCGTCTCTCGAATGCCTTTCTCGAGTCGCGCGACACCGAACCCTTTCATCGATTTTCTATTGCCTTCTTACGATTAGACAGAGGAATTGTCCCGATACTTTAACATCTGGAGAAAAAACATTGTGGAATTAATTAGAGAAGCTTAGTTGGGCATCCATTTGAAGTCGGAACGCGTTACGAACGTGGGAATCCTTTTTAGAGTGCGCAACGCCGTGAAATTATCGCGCTCTGATTGCATCTTGCTCTGTTTATTCTGCCGGAAAATTCACGCATCGGCAAAGAAAATTTCCAGAAAATTTACGTACGCTCGTTTTTCTTTTCAAACCTCGGAATTACCATCGCGAACGAAGTTGACGTTCTAGGTAAAAAGCTACGCGGGGTGGAAATCGATCGGTTTGCGTTCTGGCAGGAAACGAGGCTCGTTGGAGCGAACAAACGGGTACACGTTCGCCACGTTCGGTCGCGTTTAAACAGTTCGCCGAGGCATTTTATCGCACGTGAGAACTCGGCCGCGAAGTAGAACGATTGCTATAATCGTTGGACGCCACTTAAAGAAGAACTGTAAGTGGTACCTGCTGCAACTGTTGCTCTAGGATAATAAAATCTTGCTATAACTATGCTGCATTTTTGAAACCTATCGACACCCGCGTCATCTTTATCTCGTCAATAGCCAGCATACATTTCAGGAAAAATACCTTGATAAAATTTATCAATTAAAATAAGAAACTTTTTGAAGCACTTGGGAAGTATTCAATTAAGTTCCGATGGTTTACGATCTGCCGATTACAGGTGTCCGCAGCCTTAACGGCGCGGCGTGACGTGTACGCGCCACTTGGCGTATTTCATAGAAATAGAATAGAAGGGAAGCATGTATTCTCCGTGGATTTTAACGAACCTACCGTAATTAGCAGTCGCATTGTTCGCTTTGAATGCGTCGGGATTGCGCGCGTGACCCGTGACGAACCGGTGCATCGTGCGCATCGTACGCTTCGGACGAACCACGTGGAAACTGAAACCTACTCGTGTTCCCGCTGGAAAATTCTGCCCGTGGTCACAATGGAACGGAAGCTAATTAGATCGGAAGATTGCTCAGCCCCCCCACCCCCCGATTGAATTGCAGATAAGAGGTTAATACGCTTTTGTGAAAGAGGAAACTCGAGTTGCCTGTTGACGCAATCAGGTTCTTCGCAATCAGATTGCCGTTTCGATACTATTTCAGAGACATAGTATTTATCCTTCCTCCCAAGCAATTTACAATTTTTCAAAATCACAGCTAATATTAACATTACAGTAGTCTCTGGTTAGGAAGAAAAATGGACCCGTCAAAGGGTTAAGCAGACGTCGACAAGGGGACCCGGAAGCGTTTAGGCGGGGCGTAGGTTAGATGAAATAGGGCCGTCATCGAAAGAGGACAGGTGAACGTATCGAGCGGTATACGAGGCGGAGTCATCGCGATGGAAGAAGCGTTCGTGACCCATGACGGCCTCGGTGGCCGCGCCATGGAAACGATGCGTTATCCGTTGCTGCGTCCAAACTGTAAAGAGAGAAAGCCTCTGCCACGTACGCTACCTCCATTACTTGGATATTATTATACCTGCTGCAGCTTTATATCTGCCGGCAGGATGGTCTTTTTGCGACGATGCATCCGGCGCGGCAATCTAGTTCTCGCTTTCTCCTTCTCTCCCTCTTATCCTGCTCCTCCTGCTCCTCTTTTTCCATTATTTTATTTACTCGACGGATATCGGCGGATGGTTTCCTTGCATCGACCAGCACGTGGACGCGCATGCAAATTGACGCGGCTTGTCGGCAATTATCGTTCATTAATATTCCCTACGGATAACAGGGATCGCGTTTGTTATCGGTTGAAAGCGCGCTGGAAATTCCAAAGGGAAGTTTCGTGTTTGCAGATGTTTAGATCGAGTTAGGAAATTTTCCGATGGAAATGGGGGAACGAGTCGTTCACTAGGCAGTCGAGGTGAGCCCAAAGACGAGATACTATCTCGATTCCTCTTTTACTTGTACCTTCCAGTTGCCATTTTATAATTAACAAGCAAATCCGAGGCGAGGCGACGCGACGCGTTTGTTGTCGAAGGAAAGCTCGGCACCTGTTGGACAGGCGCAATCAGTCGACGATTTTAATTATCGACGCGTTCATTTAGCCAATCGAGCGATCGAGGCCTGTTGTAGTCTGTGAAGGAGGATGGAAAGAAATCGTTGTTAGGTCCGAGCGTGCTCGTGGATCGGTAGATCGTCCAAGAAGATTGCACCGGGTGCGCCTCTGACTAATTACATTCCTGGCTTCCAAGCCGGGGGGGTTGATGCGCTGCTCTCGAGCTTCGGGAAACCGATTACACGATCCTATATCCAATTACGTAGCGACGATTGGCAGCGATCCAGAGATAAATTCGGTTGGCTGATTGCTGTAACGCTCCCTCTTTGCCTCCTCTTATCATCCCTTCGAAGGAAGTTAACCCTCGAATCTAAACCCGACCGAGAGGGAACCTTAGCTTCTTCCGGTATTCGAGAATAAAGTTCGACGATAGCCGGAGAACCGCAAATGAATAGGAAAATGTGTACCTCGTTCCGGCTGGTTGAGCGTTTGCGGAACTCTGCATCGAACCATTGTCTCGGACTTTTTTCGAGAACGTCGGAGACCGGTTTCATCGATAGGTGGTACGCACGTGCAGCCACAGTTTAGGTTCACGGTTGTTCGTCATGTACCACGCCTAGTTCCTCGAGTTCCTCGAGTTCCTCGAGTTCTAGACCAGTATAGAGATAGGATCGCTGGCATGGCTTTCGTACAGTCTAATGGCCTGCAGCTACGACGATCGGTTAGAAATCAACTAACCCTTTGATCGCTAGTGTAAGATAATTGAAATTATTCTCCTCTGTCCCATTTTTCAAGTACCTACGTATAAAAGAGGATTGAAAACGAGGAACAGGTGAATTATTTGTCGAGTGTCGGTGAATGGATATATCGATGGCGGATAGGGAACGGATCGAAGTAAAAGGGTTAAAAGGAAACTTATTGGATGTCAATCAATTCTCATCAGAGACGCGTCGGATACGCGTACGTTCGGTGTAATTTGTTGAAAAAGGAGGGAGGATAACGGACGGATTGAATCGACGGGTAATCGATCGTGGCCCCGATTCGAAAAGTCATCCACGATAATCGGTTGCCAACGACGATCGATCAACCGTCCTGCCGACGATCGATCACGATTTTTCATACGTACCATTCTCCCCCGTGTCTTTCGACCCGACTAACCGAGTGTCCCATCTCTGTTTTTCTGTTTCAGCAAAAGGTGAAATTCTGGTTCGCGACCGGTGGGGCTGGATTTTGCATCAGCAGGGCGCTCGCGCTTAAAATGACCCCCGTGGCTGGGTGAGTTTTTAAGTTTAGTTTAGTTTTAGTTATAAAATGCGAAACGAATTTGAATATGAGGATGAAAGTTAACGATCCAGAACTAATTGAGCGTGCACGTTCGAATCCGTTCAAGACGGTCTACCGAAGAGTTAACGAGGCGCAATCAAAATGGTTGATCGCGACGTCGTGGAGCTATCCGCGTTATTATCAATAAATTCGTCTCGAGAAGCAATTCAAGCGAGGAGAAACAACGTTTATGTCCCTTGAAGGGCCTTCGCCCTCTCTTCGATCATTATTTACGTGGCGAACGGTGGCCGAACCGCTACTCTCTTCCTCTTTCAGTATTAACAAGAAACTCTGCGATTTTAATCTCTAAAAAGATTTAAAGAAGATTTAAAAAATAGAAATCTAGGGTGCGCCTATTTCGTTGGGTCCAATTGAAATTTTCCCAATTCCCTGATTCCACCACCAATGGAACGTCGTTGAAGGAACGAGGCGAGACGAATGGAAGCTGGGGCAAAAAGCCCGCCACCTGGGAGGGCTTTCGAATCAGACCGCAACCTCCTCTGTCCGGCACGTTCGAGTTTCCCCGTTCTTGTCCACACGGGCTATACACGCTCCTGGCATTATCCTGCCTCCTCTACACTCGTTCCTTTCGTCTTGCAACACATCTGAATCGGCCACGAATACGAAGCAAGCAGGGCATACGGCAGCAAGTGCATCGAACCGCTTTCTCATTCAGGGACGTTGCCACTGCTCCTCTCTCCTTCTCTTTCTATCTTTCCTCTTTATTTCTTCTTTGCCTACTCACCGGCGGCGGACAGCACCGATTCAGCAGTATCCGCTCCGTTCCTCCATTTTCCTTTTCATTTCTTCCTTCCATCGAGCTTAGTTCGATGCAATTAATCCTCGGACGGCGGACCATGGAGAGAAGCCGAATTTTAATTCTCCATTCACGAAACAGGCTTCGTTGTTCAACGGTTAATAATTGAATCGCGAACAAAAGTATTAATTAGTAAGGAGGGTAATTGTAGATAGATCAGTTGTCAGTTTAATTTCCGGTGTCATTAGAGTTCACGATTTCCATCAATTATTTCGTTTCTTACGAGCTTCGGTTTAATCGAACCTATCGTAACGTTGAAATTATAGCTCGTAAAGGGTTAGAATGACGCTTCGTTTGGAGGATAATCAAGGTTGGTCCCGTTGGTATCTCATCGAGGCTGCTTTCCTCTCTAACTGTTCATTATTTATGATACCGAGCATTGGTAACGGTGCACCGGGAGCTGCGTGCCTCGTAAACGTCGATGATTTTCCATTAACGCTGTTATCCTGCTCTTCGTTAACAGGAAACAAGTGTTTCCCTTCTCTCTCTCTATCTGCTTCTCCATTAATCCTTACGCCATCTTGAATTATCTTGCAATTAAGAATATTTAGAATATTCGGAATAAGAAAAGATGATTGAAAATCGTTGGAATTTCTAATACGATTCAACTCGAGTAATCTCTGTCTCAGCGAACGTAAAGTTTCATCTTACTTCCGGTTCCAATTAGTCCGACACGTATCGGAGAAAGTTTCCGCAAATTGATCATATAATTTAACACATGGCCCGTTTACGACTTCCGTCGAGCGTAATTGTCGTTGCGAAATCGACCGAGCCGGTCGAGAAAGACGTCGCGAACGGAGGGATTGAAACGTCAGGATAAGAGAGGAATCCCGTGATTTTTCCCACTCGATCGGTTGTCCATCGAGGAAAGAGAGAGCACTGCTTCCGATGCAGATGGGTCTTAATTAACGAGCAACGCAACGAGCCGGTCACAATGGGCCTACGGAGAGCTGATTGCCACCCACGTGCATGCACGCTCGCTCTTACAAAACTCCATTCACCGTGCTCGAACCTTCGAACAAGAAAAATTCTTCCAAATCAGATTAGAAAATTAGAAATTTTTACTACGATCAAAGTACCGTTGAAAAACTTTCGAATCTCGACGCGAAGGGGAATGAAAACTCTCTGAAACAGAGTTGTCCGAAAATTTAGCCGATGGAATCGGAGTGTCGGCGATTCGGCTGATCTATAGATCGTGGATGGATCGGTCGGTTGGCGCAGCACGTATACATATACGTAGGAATGCCCAAATTGGTTTCACCAGCCGCGAGTTTATAGACGTATACAGGCTGTGATCGCGGAGAGGAATCCAATTAGGTGAGCAATAATGGAATCAAAGAGTTCTTCGAGCTGCCAGAGAATTACATCGATCCTTTCTTTCCTCCGTCCCCTCTCGATCCTCCTCGCACTCGAAGAAGACTCGAGACACGTACCTATATTTATTTTCCCTTTTGCTGGAGAAACGAGCAGGTGGTTAATTGATAAGTCATTTTAATTATGGAAGCCTGAAAATTTAATATCAGTATATTATCCCATGTGTTCTGATCTCCGGAACATGCATGGAAATCGTTAATCGATCGCGCCCCTTCCAACTTTCCCCTGCTAAAAACCGTTCTGTTTTTCCTGAGGGGATTTTTTCTGTTTCCTTAAGGCGCGTTCATTGTCGCGACGAAATTGATGGACGGTTCGAACCATGGGAATATTTAACCGGTCGAAGGGGAATCTCTTCTTCAGTCGTGACATTGTAAGATGTCTTATAGATTAAGAATTAACTCGTTGGATTACGATCGTACACGGAGTCGGACGTTCTTCGCGCTTGGATCGCGATCGATAACGATCCTTCTTCTTCGCGAACCGGTGCTACGTGCAGGATAGCGTTAACGTTTCAATATCGATAGCCGATCTCTATCGTTTCCCTCTTCTACTCTTTACATAAGAAAGTACACGCGTGGCGAAGGAATTGAAACGCGAAGAATCGCGAAAAGAATAGAACGCGAACCGCGTTCGTTCTCGTTAACTCGTAACCGTGGAATGTCGAACGATGGATCAAGAGAAGAGAAGAAAGCGAAAGAGATATAGGATTGTCGGTATCGCAGCGAAATCTGTCCGTTTGGCTTATTTAGCGGCGGACGAAGACTGAAAGCTCGAAGGACACGAACCCTTTCGATCCCTTTCTTCCACTTGCCTCGCTTGTAAGCGCCCGAAATTTCGATTTCGTCTCCGGGGCCGTAGGTATTTTAACGAGGCCGATATTCCGTGTCGGCGGTGCCGAAAGAACGTACAAGGTGCAACGAACAGGGTTGGGGTGGGGAGCCAGATGAAAAAAGAAAAAGGAGCGACGCGACGGAAGGAAGAGGCGAGAGAGGGACTGAGCGAAAGGGTACGCGATTTCGGGACTAATCTGGCCAATTAAAAAGAAGCAAAGGAGATAGAGAGAGACGGCGTGCAGGTACGTCGGATTCGAGAATTCACCGATGGTATTCGCTAATGAGTGGCTCCTTTTCTTTCTCTATTGCTCTTGTTTCCTCGCAAACATTTCGCCTGGTCCTCTTCTAGGCGGTTCGACTCTTGGAAAACGTTAATTAGACGCGGCACTTTGCGTACGCGGGGATTCCTGCTAATTGGACGGGAGAATATGGTGAAAATTTTTCGGTGGACGCGCGACCGTGAGAAATCGGTTGTTCGAAGAGGAGCAAGGAACGGAGAGGGAAAGAAACTCTGTTTACTTAGAACGCCTCATCCCGTCGCGTCGTTCGATTTTTCGACCCCTCTGTAAACGCACCGACTTACGGAGGACATCCTCCTACTTTTTTCCCCGCCACCGAAGCTTTGGAATAATAAATTCTCTCGTTCGTGCATCGATTTCGCCACTTTAATCTTCAAACGACGTTAGTTTTAATGTCAGTTACAGCGATAATCCGTAATAATTAAAGAAACTTTCTTTCCTGTCTTTCCACGGGACGATAAAACCCTTATCGATGTCCGCCGACATACCGACTGTCCAACTGGAGCGGACAAATCTACGATGACCAGTTCGAAAGCGGCGCGGCGGCGGCAACCCTTTGAGACATTTGTCCCCGTACTGTTCTCTCACGTGTGCTCGGTAGCAGGAGGTGCCACTCGGTTCGATATACAAGCTTGCTCACCGAACTTCTGACTACCGCTTGCTCGCCGCTCTAATTGGCACGATTTATGTCCGTCTTCTCTTCTCTCTCGATTGACCCACGAATCTCCATGAATTTCTTGAAAAATTTCATTAAACCTGGCGAAATAAAGAACGAAAGAAATTTGGTTAATTCGAGGAGACAGCCAGTGACAGGGCATGGAAGCGTGTCGACGCGTGGCCAACGATGGAATCGATCGGATTAATAGGCGGAATTATCGAACGATCGAGGGAAATTCGTTAGGGCTTGTAGGGCATGATATCGCGTCGGACGAACGGCCTTAATAAATGCCCTCGCTTGGGACTCGGTTTAATGCGGCCAACCAGTTCTCGAGCGAGAGGAAGCGAGCACCTCGGCCGAGGATAGAGGACAGTGGACGAACCGAGCAGCAGGTGCACGATCATGGCTAATCTACATGCGTGGAATGCCGGTAAATTAAACTCGCTTCCCTCTGCCTCGCGCAATCCGACAATTAAACGGCCAACACCGGACCCACCTTGTTTTCTCATTATCAGATTCTAATATTTCTCGCCCGGTCCAAATTCATCCTCTGACTTTCTCACTTTTATCGGCTCGCTAACGAAATTAATTCGCATAACGAGTTTATAAGTTTAACCGAAATTGCTGTTATTTCTCTGCTTTCGTTAACCTGCTCTCATCGTTTCTCTTTTCAGAGGAGGAAAATTCATTACGGTGGGTGACAGAATCAGGTTGCCCGACGACGTGACGATGGGATACATAATCGAGTACCTACTGAAGAAGCAACTCACAGTCATCGAGCAATTCCATTCTCACTTGGAGCCAATGAAGTTTCTGAATAAGGACACATTCGGCGATCAGGTACTTAACAAGTTCCGTCTTTTCCCCGATTCCTACTTTCAATTTGATACTTCTGTAATTTCATTAATCTTTCCATTCATCCTTGGACGGTACCTATTTGCTTTCCCTGCGATGTTACAATTCGAAAAAGGTAGTACACGCTACACTTTCTACTAGCCGCCCATTCAATCTCGGCTGGCGGTGATTAATTGATCCGGTACGAGGGATTAAAAATAAAAAAAAAAAAAAGGTTGCCAGAGGGAGGGAATTAAGATGGTGTACGGGTCGCAGTGTGAAGTCTAATCGCGAGTAATAGAATAATCTGTAGGATGAATCACCGCGGTCGCTTTCCATCGGCGAACCAACAATGACCATTATTTAATCGTCGCGTTCGTTGTTCGAAAATTACCGCCGCTCTGAAAGCGACTCGTACGAGAAACAGGTGACCATTGTTCTTCCCTCGATCCCCGAGCACGCCAGGTGCCATTGTTGTTTCGTTACCTTTTCAAACTTTCCCTTCTTTCGAAAATCAGCCGATCGACGGAGGTTTTTCTTTTTAGTATAAAAGAACCGTTCCTCGATTTATCAAATTCACTGAGGGGGATCGGTTTGAAAGCTGACCAAGTAGAAAACGATCGCTCGGCAATACGAAGCTGACAGAAGAAATATTTCTGCTAGAGCTTGATCAGACTTCCTGTCTCGTATTTCGCGTTAGCTGATTCTCGAGGTGGCATGCGAAAATAAGCGATATCGCGTTCCTCGTGGCGTCGATGCTCGGCAAAACACGCCATTATATTGATTTCAACGTTGCCGTTATTTTTCTTCTTGCAGGTGTCGTTCAGCTACTCGAAGGGTCCTAGGGACGAGTGGAATATCCTGAAGATCGACGGCTTCGACACGAAGGACGATCCAAAGAGGTAATTAATCCTTTCTCCACGCTTTTATCCAATTTTCTGCTATCTTTTATTCAGCAACGCTAACAAAAGGAAATAGTATTAGGGGTGTGGTATTAGAGGTTTGTTCAATAATGGAAGTGGTATTTCTCAGACCCAGGGAACGTTCTCGAATTTCTTAGAAGCGCGTTCGTCTCCGGTAAAAGCAGTTAGAAATGCGAGAGGTGACGAACTTCCGCGATTCCACGGGACTAATCTATCTTTTTTACGATCTAACCGAGGGAAAGACACAGAGGAGCGGAGCAATTAGCGGTAGACCTCCACGTGTAACTGAATCTTCCTCTCGACGCTTCTCGTCTTTCTGCTTCCTCCTCGCGTCCTTTTCCCGTTTCTTTCATCCCTTTTACGTTGCTCCGCGAAAGCTTCAATTGCTTGTATAATTGCCAGCTGGTCGTCCGTGTGGCAAGGCTAGGAAACACGCGAGAACAGAGCGGGACCGGGCCAGCTAATGACAAAGATGCCCGTTCGCCGCTCTCTTAATTGACTTTATTCATAATTACCGACTCTGCAATTTCACCGAACTCATTTTTTACCACGTTTCTGTCGTTCAGTTTTTATTTCGCTTCCGTCGGGTTAAGTGGTTTCCTCGACGTCGGCGTGACGCTGGAAAAATAATTAGCTGCGTGTCGTTTTGAAATTTTTTAATTACCTGGAATATTCGACACTTTGATTCTGTTTATAATTCAATGCCTTTCATCAAAACTTTCAATTAATCTACTCTGAATATTAGCCATAATCCTAACGTAACCACGCTAACCAGCTCATCCTTCGTCGACTGTCAGCTGCCTGATCTCCAGTTACTCCAAGGATCCTGAAACTTAGCAAGTACGCCCGATGCTGTCCTTCTTAATAAATCCCATATACTAATCTATCACAGCTGACATTTCCCTTAGCGACGGTCGGAGGTTCAGCGAGTCTGCTGTTTTTCGACGGCTGGATTTTTTTCTAATTACAGATTCAAGTCTATTCACTGCCATTTGTTCCCGCATGTGGCCAATTGTCCTCACAGATGATGATCAACCGGATGAAGTATCGCAGCTGAGCCGAGTCGACCGAGAGTGTCAGGACTTCGAGGACCTCTTCGCCTATCCGCAGGACATCGCTTTGTACTTTGTTGTCTCTTGTTATTTCGTGTTTTATTTACCGTTGATAAGACGACGATGATCGTAGATCGTGTGAAATTTAGTGTGGTAGTCAATTTCGTTAGGGGATCAACAGACATGCATCGAATGTTCTAAGGATATGTTTATCCTGTTGGACACAATTTACAGCCGGTAGCTTCTACTAGTAACCAGTAGAAGATGACTGGTTCGTGTGAAATTTGTACATACATACGTGTAGATACACGAGACTTTGGAAACATTTACATAATGTTGTCTGAAAGCCTCGTGGTTTCTTCGGGGGCCAAATACCGATGGTGGACCAAGCGAAAGAAGGACCATCGGCGTCTTGCTCGTAGATCGTTTTTATGTGTTCGACAACAGATGGGCAAAATTTTAAGGGGTGATTCTAGGGATCAGAATAAGACGAAAATTAAGAATAACGAAATAGTGTTTACGGCTTTGTTTTCCAATAATTAACGTTTAAAAATTCGAGTGAAAAGCGCCTGAAACCTGCAACCCGCCCAGCACCGACGACTGAACGTCAGGTCAGCAGGGGTCGGTACAGTCATAACCAGGAATCGAAGCCGAATGCCGCAGTACCGAGAAACAGAATAGCACGAGGTAAGTTTCTACTATTCAACGATTCTTGGTTATGACTGTACCTTCCCCTGTTGATCTGACGTTCAGTCTTCGGTGCTGAGCGGGTTGCAGGTTTCAGGCGCTTTTTATTCGAATTTTTAAACGTTAATTACTGGAAAACAAAGCTGCAAACGCTATTTCATTATTCTTGATTCCTAGAATCAGCCCTTAAAATTTTGCCCACCTGTTGTCGAACACCCTGTATAATATAGGGAAGAGAGATTTCTGTTTTAAGCGTGGAAAGTTTAACGTATTCAGATTGTACATATGGAAATAGAACTCGTGACTGGCGAACGTTATCGAGCCGACCAAAAGAAACTTTGATAACGTTGGCAGCACACGAACAGAGATGAGAAGATTATTTTGGCGACATTCTCGTCGCCCCTATAGAGAAATTACCTTAAGCTAGTCTCCTGTGTAATGTCTAATGAAGCAAATGCCCGTACAATGTGATATTTAATAGGTGTGAGTGGAATTCGCGTTTGTCTTTTTCTTTCGTTCTGGCGCGTGTGTTCAAGAGGAGATCGAATGCGAAAGTACTTTGAAAATTCAAACGTACATTCGCGCGCAAAGTGAAAGGAGACGGATTGTGTCGTTTTCAAACGACCAGTGATAGCGTCCGATTTCCTCCTTCTCCTTTTGCGTGCTATCGATTCAATCGATGTGCAATATAGAGATAGAGGAAGAATGAGAATATAAAACAGTATATAGTTGGCTTGTGTCGTGAGAAAACACACGTTTATGCACCTGTTGCGCGTCGAACTGGATATAGAGAAGGAAAACTCGAATGAAGTCAGAGGATACAGCGGATGTACGTTATAATAATGATGTTTTATATAATATACGGACATATCTATATTACAGAAGGATTCAATTTCATCGTGATTTCTTCTCCCGTTTATTCTTCTCTGAGAAAATCAAACTCCTGGTCCTTATTTTAATTAAAATTCTTTGATTCACAGATAGATCATTTTAAAATGAATTTCTTATTCGATATTTAATTATTTCATTTGACTACTGTAAAAAAGATTGTAGTTGCAATGAAAATAAGGAAATGATAAATTCTTTCCAGAAGATCCAGAGTGTCAGCCGGATTTCCTGTCCAACTATCTCCATCTGTCCTGACTCTGAAGAAACCTAGAACGAAGTCGGTAAAGCTGCTCTCCTCCTTCCTCGCCTTCGATTCCCAACCACTCGTCTTCAACATTTTACTTCACCATACATCTTTTGCTATATGTAACGTTAGCAATTTGCAAATATTCAACTTGGACTTTGATGTTAAATAAAATCACGAGAAATAGAAGTATCAACATCGTGACGATCATCGGTTACAAAGGAAGTCGAAGGTAAGTCCCTAATCGATAAGATTGCCAAAAAATACTTTTCCCTCGAATCATGAAGAAAGTGATCATTTCAAACGTTTCTTCATTTCTTTACGTAAATCTAAAAGTTACAAAGATTTATCGTACTTTGATTTATTTGAAATTGTTACTAGAATTTGAAAAAGTCACTAGAATTGGAGAACGAGGGGGTAGCTGTTACTAGTATAGAAGAAATTTGTACAATTAATTACATATTCTTAATCGAAATTTATTTACCTTACGAGATAATTTCAGTTCCAAGTGAATTTAAAAATTTCTCTTAAAAAGGGGTTGAATTTATTTGTACGACGAACCTTGCCACGATTGCTTTTTCATGATTCGTTTCAGAAAGATCTATACGTAGCCGAAGAAGGTATATTCGAGAGATACATGGTCCCCGTGTACATATTTACTCGAAGCTCTTTGCAAAAATTTATTCGTCCGTCTCGCGGGGATCCGAGTTATACTCGTCGAGCTATATCCATTCCCGTTTCTCGGCTCGAATTTTTCCTCGAGTATGCACTCGTTCGATATCTCACCGGAAGTAGGCAACGAGCACGTGATTCGAATGCCAACGAACCTTCATTGACTTCCTTTTAATTATAACGATGATTAAAAGGAAGAAGAACTAACAACTATCCAACGTTCGTTCATCCGGTTTTCTAGGGCTTCTTCACATCTTACGTATTCAAGTTTCTTGATTTAATATACGCACGAACAAAGTAGATAGAGTTTCGTTAAGTGCAGAGTGATCATTAACACGAAATTCTTTGAAACATATATTATTTTTTTATCTCCATTCGTCGTGCTTGAAGTAGCCCTCAGAATGATGAAACACTCTGTATAATTATTTGAATTTGAAAATTTTTCCAAACCAGTTGGAATAACTATCGAGTGTTTTTATTTTGAATAAACCTGTAGAGAGGTCGCGAAATTGCCAGGGAATATGCAATTGCAGCTCGAATGCAAGTCGAATGCGGGCCAAGCTGGAAGGAAAGTTTTTCCAATAAATGTTTATATATCGTGGCTCTGTAACTCCTTCTTGTTTTCGGTCGGTCTGTCGCTTAGGCAAGGGGGAAATTGTACCGTAAAAGAATTTTTAGGCCATCGCGAAACGTTGATACCTCTGCCCGGTTCTTGCTCTTCCCCTCGAATATTTATGAATTCTCAAAAGGCGAACGGCTACGCGACGTGGATGCGGAGGAACAGCAGTTTCTCCGTTTATTTTACCTTTTTTTTCTCTCTCTCTCGCTTTTTCCCTTCTTTTCGTTCTTCCCTGATGCTCCAGCTCGCGCGTGAGTTCAATTTACAATGGGAACCTCGCCCCGGCTCGACTCGACTCGGTTTTTCAGGCCAATTTCAGGTCGGCCCTTTTCCTCTTTCTCTTCCATCCTCTGTTCCTTTCAGAAACATACATTTTTCTACTTAATATCAGTCGAAGCACCGTTTCCTCTGTCTAGATCACGATTGGCCCCCGTCTACCTTGGTGGTAACGTATCCATTGGTAAACTAGGTCTCTGAAAAATGAAACACGTCGTACGATACATGGGGGGATAAAGTTTCGCGAGCAAGTGACAAGAAAATGCTTTACATCGTATTACTCGAGTTTCTGGAAAAATGTCACATCCTGGATCTTCTCCTAGACGCTCTATCGTCAAAGGTATCCTGGATATTTCATGCTCGGATATCAACTGGCTCGTCGCATACTTTTCGTTTCTATCTTCTTTCGAGTCAAAGAGAAGGCGAGTTTTCTTTTTTTTTTTCCACCCTTTTAGTCGATTAGGCAGCCTGTTTTTCGAGCTGGCTAAACGATGATAGGCAAGTTTCGGTCTCATTCAGGAAAAAAGGAAGCGGGCACATCGGTTGCAGCCAGTGACGTAAGAGGCTGCAACCGGGGTCGCCGGATGAAGAGGGATGATGTAAGAACAGGGCTGGCTCGCGAACACTAGCACCCTTTCATTTTTTCTTTCTTTTCTCGCTGAAAATGTCGGGACATTCTGTAGCACGTAATTTATGGCGTACATAATAGCTGCGAGAATTGTGTAGAAAATTACTTGAGGGTAAACGGGAGTTAAATGGAAAAGTAATTTTCCTAATTCGAGTAGAATTGTGCATCTCGTAAATCAGAATTAATGAAAAATGTAGAGACGATGCGAAAGATATATATATATATATATATATATATATATTCTAATTTTCAATGTTCTGTTGGTTAAAATTTCAAGCATCATCGAGGCGCGACGTTTTCTGAAATTTGCGTCAGAGTTCGCGTTGGAGTTGCATAAATTTCCAAGAGAGCAACTGTCACGTATCTCGTTAGAAAGCCGAGGATCCGTCCAAAGAAACGTAGCTTCGCGACTCGATCGCGTGGTCCGTCACTGGGAAACTGAGAAGTAGAGATAAGAAGAGGGGCTGGGAGAGAGGGTTGCAATCGTATGTAGGTCGTACTGTCAGTGCCACGACCCGATTTTACCCGGCGACCCACGTCCCGCCCCTGAGACCCAGAATCATCCCCGAAACCGACGTCCTGCGTCACCTCGCTCGCCTCTGCAAATCCCTAAATACATTTCCAACCACCCTCGCTTCTCTCTTCTCCACGTCATAATGCTGTATTATTCAACGACACACCCCTTTCTCTGATGAGCTCCTACTACGAGCAACCCTTCCCTTTTTCATCCCTCTTTGTCGCTACGAATTAACTCATATTATCTGGGCACTGGTTGCCGGTTCGAATCGTCGCTGCACAACAGGGATGAAACTTTACTTTACTTTGTAACAACCTTTACAAAGCCTTTTGAAAAAAGGACAAGAAGATTGCGACGAAGTAGTAGTAATTACAGGTTGTTAAAAAAAGAAAAAAGAAAGATTCTTAGACGAGCGAGATAAAAGGTTTTCGCGTACGTGATCGAACAAATTCATTCTCCCCCAAGAGTAGTGTCAGATTACTTTCTGATCCTTGGCAAACTGTCGAAAAGGAGGGTGTTTTCCATCCGGTAAGCTGGTCGGCCGCGGTGCGGGGAACACATCGCAGGACGTCAGCGTGGAACGACGCGCTGAATATTCAAGATGCCGAGGAGAGGGTTTTCCTGAATTTGAATAGCCCTCGGTCCTTCACGGATCGTGCTAATCCGTGCTAATCGGACGCTTTCGGGCCTCTATGCGGCTGCACGTACGCGTCAGCTGTTATTTTCGTGGCGAACCATCGTCATCCTTATCCTAAGAAATTTCGAAAAACGAAGAAATTAATTTCTCTTCAATGAACGGGGAATCGGTATGGCGACGTCGGTTCTATCAGAAATTGATGAGAACGCGAGGCACGTGCACCGATACAGCCTTTGGGAAATCCGAGGCTGCCTCGCTGCTTTAATTAATTTATCGCGGCCAGCCGATGTCCCGTTGATTTCACAGTTGACGTTCATTATAGATATCCTGCCGGCGTCGTTACTCCTGTGTTCGCGCGCCTACCTTTTGGGATCCATTTTCTCGTTTAAGCGACCCGCAAACCGCGTTCCCTCGCTCTCAAACGTTTAACCACCCCATAACTGTCCGCTTCCATAACTTTGACGTTTCATGAATATGATCGAATGATACACGTAGCTAAACGATGGATTTGTCGGGTGATCTCAATTCTATCTAAAATTCGGATCCCTTTAATGCTTTTAACGTCTATTTTCTACCATTCTTTTGAACCTCGCCTCCTCCCTTCTCCTCCGTCCCGTTGAAATTACATTACACACGGACCACGAAATCTCATTTCCGGGGGCCGGTGTTATTCTATTTTCCGCCGTTCCCGTGCGTCACACCAGTTTTCCGACTTTCTCGCGAATAATCCAGAGAGACGCGAAAGGTTGTCGCAATAACGAGCCAAGTAAAAAACTAGCCGTCTCCTTCTTTACCTTGCAAACGAGTTCCTTTTCCCGGACGGCTAACTAGTCCTACGCGATTACTTTCTTCTTTTTGTCTTGGAACGATTCGAAGAGCGATCCGTTCTCGCACATGTATTAAGTTGTTAACGAAACTTGGATCGCTCGCACGTGTCGGGAATCGCGTATTTAGCCGCTTAGGATGCCTTTCGAATTGGTATGCGTTCATTGCCGAGGAGATTCGGGTACGCCGCTTGCTCGTTGAGGACATTAAACGGTATAATTATAGTTGGTAAGCGCTTTGTTCCCTGTTAGTTGAGCGTGCTTGATTTTTCCATCGGTTAAATTGCTACTCGAACCGTTCGGAAAATCGAACGATCAGCAAATTTTCTTTAAATTTTCTTTAAATTTTCTTGGCTCTGGTTTAATCGCGTTATTGCGCCACGGGCCGGTTAGGATAACAAGATGGAAACGGGCCGGAAGAAGCGACGCGTTGTTTATCGCGTTGCGCCGCGCCATCCAATTATTGTGCCATTAAAATTCTCTGACGTCTCGGCACGCAGGCTGTCGCCATTTCCTTTTCCCTTTAATTCTACGCTCGGAAAACTCTGCTCTTTCCCTTTTTTTCCCGGCACTACAAATTGCCGCTCTTCACCCCCTTTGTTCTCGGCACACCTTCCATCGACGTTGCTCCTCCGATGGACGCAAACGAGGGGTAAATAGCGTCCGCGAACGGTGCTTGTCCCTCTCTTTTTCAGTTATCGACGGATTCCTTCCTCTTTTTTTCATATTTTTAAGCTTTCTGATTTTCCTATCTATATCGAGTACAACCCCGTATAATATCTGCAGCGCAACTAACGAACGATCAAACACGAAGTAGAGTCGCAGTTGATCGAGCTTAAACGATAGAAGAACAGCTTTGATCGCGGGGTTGGAATTTTTCTCTCCTTCTTGATTCGTTTCCGAGCAACCAAAAGACGAGCATTTACCTTTCAGACAGGAAGGCAATAATGCTCGACGAACAGATTTTCCAATACTATCGAGAAAAACGTGTCTCGCAGAGAGTCTGGTCTGAGAAACAAAGAAGCTCTCGGTTCACGGATCAGTTCGCTTCGCGTTGTTTCGTGCGACGAATTCATCCAAGCATCGAATATAAATCGGGGTCACAGGGTGAACCGTTGTACGCGTTCCCGCTTCGTTTGATAATCGATCGAACCGATCGATCAATCGGCCCACCGATTTCCGGTGGCGAATTAATCAGCCGCCAGTGTGTTTAGTTGACCCGACGCGACGACGTTGGAATTTAATCAGGATTCATTAAATTTGCTTTGCTCTCGGAATAATTGTTTCAAACAATTTTGGATATTGAATAACTCGAAAAAAAGTATCGATTAATAAATGAAAAAACGAAAGGGGTTAGTTCGTTACCCAGTTTCCGACGCTTCTCTCTTTAATAGCCAGCGAACAGGGTTAAAGAGCAGAAGGAAGGGTCTAAAAAAGTTGCTAGTCGCTTCATTCAGCGTCGCGACGCCGGAAAAAAAGCGTAGCTTTGCTGGCAGCTAGAAAGGGACCTGGCAGCGTGACTTTAAGTTCCGGCAACCCTTCGAAAACGAAAGCGAAAGCGAAAGCCCCGCTCGGCTCCTTTCACCGGGCTCGCGATTGCACCGGGGACATGCATTTCGAAGAAGGTCGACGACGAAGGCTCGAGCGTGTAATTCCCTTCAGGGAATGCACTTGATTTTCTTTCACGAGGCGCTCGCTTACCCTACACACCACCGACAACCCCCTTACACCCCCTTCGACACAGCAAACGGACGTTAACGAACGAGGGTCGACGAACTTCCTTCTTCCTACCTTTCCTTAGATTGTCAATCAACCTTTCTCCAGTTGAATTATTCTATGGTACACAGGCTTTATTCAGATTTTTCTCTTCTTCATTAGTCGCCGGATAAATAAAAATATTTGTCGATTTATCAGCGAAAAATAATAACTACCTTTTAGTAGAACAATTATCGCCGGAATACATAGTAATTTCTGAGGATTCTACGTATAAGGGTGATGTTATTTTTCGATTTATCGATTTATCGACGAATTGAAACAGCCAAAAAAAAATTTATTTTCTCATAAAAACATTAGAGGATGAAATTTCAGAGGCTTTCCGGAAGTATTTTGAAAAAGTGAATCCACGTCGATAAAAAAAAGATATATCTGTTGGATGCAAATTGCGAATCGATCTATCCAGGGCTTCGGTGAAATTCCAATTTGTGAAACCGCGAATTGTATGACGTCAGACAGGTCGAAATGCATTTTCGAACGGACAAAGAGAAACGATTTCCACGCGATATCGAATCGTGGACTTTTTAATACCGCGATCCCCTACTCTACCACAACCCGATCGTAAATTCCGGGACAATAACACGAGACGATAGCTGGCTGGAACACGAGATCGTTGATTTGCGAATTTTCAGCTTTGTAATCGCATCTGGTCAGAGTTAATTAATGAAATTCTTGTAATGAGCGAACTATCCTCCAGCGGTTTATCGCTCGAATTTTCTTCATTCTTTGGTCCGCTTCTGCTATTCCTTCCTGCCACGAAGGCATTGTTCGAATCGCGGAAGTTTATAATCAATAGATAAACAGTCGATTAACCAGTAAATTCGTTCGAATAAAAACACCTTTGGTATTTTTTAACGCACTGGACTAGTTTCGAGCCGATAAATGTTTTTATTAGTAACAAATTTTCATACGTTCAATTTAAATTATAAAAATGGTATGGTATATTTTTTACCCATCGGTGAATCCCGATTTGAGATACCGTGTGATTCTATAAATTAAATACTTTTATGCGCTCAATTTAAATGGAAAAAATCAAATATTTGATATTTGCCATCCGCTACTTTATCCCTCAAATATTCCACCCCCGTATCTCATTTTTCGACGATGATGCTTATTTTTGTTGAAGGGAAAAATCTCTGGAATGGCTACGGGCGTAGCTCGAAGTGACTTTAATCAATTAATAAACCCGTTCGTTTCACACCTGCGTCTCGTGGTTGTTGCAGGTGCGCTCGCGAACGCGCAACCACCACCAGAATCCAGCTGTTTGTCCCGCGATCGTGCAAAGTGTAATTTTCATATTATACCGACGGTCTATTAGCGGCCTGTCGATATCGTTAATTAATGGGAGAACGGCTGGCCGTGATTTAGAGTGGACGGACTCTCTTTTTTCGCGTTATCGCTGGGAGAAAATCGGCCGGACTAGCCTCTACTTTTTCACGATTCGATTCATTTTCTATTTACGGGTAATTGTGAGATTTTCTTTTTTCAATTTAAACACTTTGACGCGTCAGCCGTTCGCAATTTTCTGTTCCGTTGAAGCGAAGAAACGGAACAGGGGTGTTGGAAAATTTGTCCTTTCTTCAACTCGCACCGGAAGGTCGGCGACGCACGGGACTTGGAAAGTATGATTAAGTTTTCGGGCCAATCCGAATCCTTCTACTTAGTTAGAGCTGTGAAACTTGGAATATTCGAATTTTTATTGTAGTACTGCTTCCCACTCTCAACCCACTGTGAAATTAGTAAATAAGGAAGAGGAAGAGGAAGAGGAAGAGGAAGAGGAAGAAAAGTTTCATTATAGTATTGGAGAAATTACTTGAAAAATGAACTCGGTTCTCGTAACAGGATCGCGAACGTTGCTCGTGTAAACAGTTTGAAAGGCGAAGTGGGAAGTATTACCGTCTAGATTGCTTTTTATTTTAAAAGGTAATCTAATTTCGCGCCGGAAACCGGAACACTTTCGCGCAGACTAACCGGCCCGAACGTAGAAACGAGCCACCCTTGCAACCGTGGTTTAAACGCGACTTTAAATCTGACGAACAGTGATGTTCCAATGAAAATAATTAAACGTAGCAAAATTTCCAATCCGCCATTGTCGTTTCCATTCAAACGTTATTATTTTTCATCCGTTTACACGGTGCATCTTTATGATGGGAAAAATTCATTTCGACAGCAATGTTTTTGATGGAAGAATCTACGAGAAATTGTCAATTTCAATTAGTTTTTATTCCTCCATCAGTATTCGCGTAAAATATCGTTATCACTTTGGTAATTAATTTTCAAAAACCGATTAATTAATACTCTGATAAGCAACCCCTACAAACTCGTCGAAGCATTCCATTTCAAACATTTCTTTCATGTATGAAAAAATCGATAGATCTCCGAAATAATATTGTGGTATAATGAATGATTTTTGTTTATTAGATTTGAAAATAAAAATGGTATTGAATAAAATACAAAATTGACAAGATAGCTCGCAAACACTACGCACTTCTCTCCTCGAAAGTCAGCTAAAGTCTGTCTCATCCCGCAAAAGCACTCGCATACAGTAAAACCTGGATAAACGCAACGAAAGAATGCTTGGATAAATGCAACATTAAATGGCCAGAATCGACACCTCGCTTGGATAAATGCAACATTAAATGCCCAGAATCGCCACCTTGCCTGGATAAATGAAACCTTTGAAACCAGAGCCGACACCGCAACTGGTTTTGTTTTCGATCTCTGTTGCTTTTCGCCAACCTTTAACATTAATTTTAGCAAGTAATTATAATTGAAACTATATCGTGTTTGGTACCATTTTAATCAGAAAAATTTCACCAATGCGCTAGTAAAAGTTTCAATAAAAAAAAGTGAAAAATAAAAAAGTTTTATAGTTGAATTAGTATTAGTCACACCGATACGTTTCGGCTCTTTCCTTTCATCATCGGACCTCTCTCTTTCCGCCACTGTCTGTCCCTTTCTACGTTCACGCTTGGCTGGTCGTCGCGTGTAACCCGAGATTCGACACCTCGCTTGGATAAATGCAACCACTCGGTCCCAATCTTGGTTGCATTTATCCAGGTTTTACTGTACCTCGCTTTTCATACACCCGCACCCCTCGCTAGGGCCCTAGGTCTCTCCCGGAAAAACTCTAACCGACCCTTGGGCCTGGTTTTCGTCATCGCCTTTCTATTTTACGACTCTCTTTCTGCCTTTAGAAATATAAACTACGCTAAGACATAAACTACGTTACCACAATATAAAAACGCGGAAATAATTGTGTTAATTAAAAAAAGAATAGAGAAGTCGTTGGTAGAACTGAAGGTAGAACTGGTCCACTCGAAGAAGAGACTCTAGCATCCCCGTGGGCCTATGGGGGTTGCCGTTGGAATTTCGGTTTGTCAGTGGATGTTGACAGCGTGTAGCATACCGAGGTTGTCGTTGGATGCTGTGGTGGTCGGTTGCGGACTCGCGCACTAATCAATATGGAGGGGTAGGAGTATTCGAAGAGGGGAGAGGGGTTGCTTGGTCGCTGACGACGAGTTAGTTTGCCGCTGGTTTTTCGTTTCGCAGCGCGGCCTCGCAATCGAACCGTTGCGTTGTAGGTCCATCGGTCAGGAAAACAATCCCTTCGATTGCGTGTCTGAAAATCGTTCTTCCACGAGCTACCTTACACACGCGCATAGAGGGAAGGGTTGGGGATGGTAGCGGTGGTAGAATAAGGGCAGAAGAGCGAGGTTGGTGAGACGGGAAGCGAGAGAGAACGGGGAGAATGTACGCGCAGCGTCGGTTTAACGACGAGCGTCGTCGTGTCGGTTCAGTAGGCATCGCGACGTGCTGGCGTCCGTAGCGCGCACTCTCCGGCCCTGACTCGAACTGGGTCAACCCCTCGAACGAACCAGCCCGCGATACTGTTTGCCCCGCGAGACCACCGACACCGAGGCCAGTTGCGAGGCGCGCGCGTTACACCGAACACGCTTTACTACCATACGCGCCGCCATCCCTCTAATCTTTTCCTATTATACTCTACTTCAGATTTTATTTTATTTTTTCTTCTTCTTCCTTATATCTATAATCTTACGCCGGTGATGCGGCGATAAGAAGCGAGTCGGTAAAGGTGGGACTCGATGTGACCGAATTCGATAAGATTTATTCGAACGAACGCCTTTCGGGGCTCGGGCAAGGTGAACTCGACGCGACTCGATTCAACACGGTTCAATTCCACGCGAATCGACAAATTTCAGGCTGACTCGACTTGGTTTAAATTCGATTAGCTGCAGTTTGTTTCGGGCAATCGAAGGATCGGTGGGTGATCAATGTGTCCGAGTTGGTGAAATTGCCGAGGAAGGATACGAGATTTTATAATTCGAATTCGAACAGTGTGACTCGAGTTGGTGTATTTTTTTTTTTTCTTTTTTCTCGAAGACACACTTTCGAGGATCGTTGAGAAACTGGGTTAAAGAGGGTTGATAGGTTGTTGTGCTACCGGGGGTGGTTCGATCGTTGAACGAATAGTTGTTTCTTTTTGGAGACCTGGTCAAGGACGCGCGGAAGAGAAATTGTAGTTGGATGAAAAATTTTCTGTCATCCGTAAAATTGGGCTACGTTCGGAAAAGCGGAATGTGATGCGTGAAAAGATTCTGAACAGGTGTCATGCACAGTGGTTTCTCTGTGACTCTTTTCCCTCGTCGTTTCTTCTTTCGCAACGTCGATGAAAAGTAGTGTTCCCTTCGGTTTTGTCTCATCTCGAGCACGTCGTTCCGACTAATAGATCCGAGAGATGGAAGAGATTTCACGGTATTAAAAATGATTCGGTGGATTCTGCGTGGATTGTGCCACGGAAATTCGAGCAATCTTTCTGATGGAAGAACCGCTGACAAACTACTTTCAATCAACGAGAGAATACACCACGGTGCATTTTCAGATTGTCTTTCTTCTTCTTTCATTCTTTTTTCATTCTTTCCACGAGAAAAAGCAGGAATTCGTCTTGGAGAATTTATCATCTTACATTATTCTTTCCATTAGATAATTGTTCGTACGATTGATTCGTTAATTCTCTGCTGAATTATTAAACGAACGATATCTTATAACGATAGAATATTCATTTTTACAATTTTTCACAATTTTCTTCAAACTCCAATCACTCTTTCCTAGAATTTCTTCCATATCCCTGAATTTTCTCCGGAATGTTTCGTTCATCCCCGTCGTGTCTGCAACAACCATTGTCCTCTTGAATGATTTGAGTGGAAAGAAAAAGAAAAAGAATAAGAGAACAATCTGAGGATGGTCTAGCTGACGTTGCGAAAGGAACAAACGTTTACGATAAACGCGAGGAAAAGTCAAGATGGTCGAGGAGGAATCGTAAGCTGTGAAATGGAACAATCGAGCACCGAAGGATCGAGGGTGATTATTGTCAAAGACAAACGGCAGGCCGATCTCGAAGGAATTCTCGCTTCAAAGGACAACCCTCTTGCAGAAATTCCTCGAGTATTCTCTCTTGATCAACGACCGACAAGTGGTCTCGTTGTCTTTATGCCCTTCCAAAGCTTCCAAAGCTGAAACGCTCGTCCTTTTTCACATTCCTTGGTCAAGCTCGAAACATATTGAAAAAAGAGCAAAGGAAAATCTAATTACAAAATAAAAGTAGACTTTATTCTATAAAATATTCTTCCAACAACTTTGCTTCCATTTCAAAATTATTAATAATAATAATTAAAAATGAATACTCGAAGTGTAGGTACTTTGTTAACGATAAAACAGGTATCCGTGAAAAGAGCTGAAAGGAAGCAGGGTGATTTAATTAAACACTCGACTAATTATTCCAAGAAGTCGTCAGCTACGAAACACGATTTATTTGAAGGGAAAGGAAAAGGAAAAGGAAAAGGAAAAGGAAAAGGAAAAGGAAAAGAGATGGGAAAAATGGAAGAAAAGGGGGTCAACTTGGTGAAAAGAAGTTTCCGTCCTTGGAAGTGGAGGAGTCCTCGAGGCTCGAATAGCCGCAACATTCGACCAGCACTTGAGAATTCTTTGAAACAACCATCCCCCATCGTGAAACAGCTCGGCTCAGCTCAGCCCGACTCGTCTTTCTCGTCTTCTTCACCCCGAGCTAAATACTAACGACTCTCCTTGCGGCTCCGCTTTGCTGAAAAAGCAAGTTCAACTCGCGTCCTTGACCCGGTCGCGTGTTTAAGATCCCGGATCGAGTACGGATTAAGCGACGTACTATCCACCTACTCGGTGCTTTCCAATGGAATTGCAAACTGACGCGTATCCACCTGACACGCCTACTGTTTCGCAAACTTTCCCTGAATTCTTCCTTTTCATTTCGGGGAAAAATAATTTCAAGCAATCGTTGTTCCACAGAGGTATTCTTCATGAATGCAGTTCGGTGGAGATGAGATGGACGATCGTCGAGGACGTCTTAATGAGTAGTAACGAAAACGTTTTCACGCGGAGGTCCGCGCAAATATTGTGCTACGATCGAAAGATGAACAGCGAAGATTCGATGGGCGTCGCGGTTCACCCTCGACACGATTAAACACGCTTTCGAACCGGTCTCGGGGTGCTTTGATCGCGAGCTATGACGTTGTGCCGTGTGTTTTTGTGACGTGCTGCTTTCCTTACGATAAGCTGAGGAAAGGATCCTATCGCCGAAATTATCGCAGGTGAGTCAGCAGAGAAAAGAAGATTCGTAACATTGATAACGAGCCCCTTAACTTAACCGGAAATCCTTTAAGTTGCTATATTTACATGAAAGAATCGTTAGAATATTCGAGAAGAAAAGTTTGCGTTATCTCGATGGTCGACTTGTTCGCTAGACTGACTTCGCGACGAATTTCGTTCGCTCCGTTTCACAAGATTTTTCGACTTGCCTACCTTTAACCAGCCATTTCAGCCTTGTCTGAGGTTATTTGCACGCTGGACGAGCGCGAATCCAGATGGAAAATTAATTGATGCTCAAAGAGAGCAGCCCGAAGCTGCCTCCGGCGATGAGTAGCCGGTCTAACAGTCGCTTTCAGACATTCGATAACTGCTTCGTTCATCGATTTCTTTTCTGCTCCGATACACACTGATCATTGGTATGTACAACGTTTAACGAGTATCTAATTAACACCGAATAAAAGATAGTTGAATAAATTTTCTTTTACGTGAACTCTAACAAATTGCAAAGAAATATAGTGGTGAAATAGCGTAGACTGAACGGAATGCAGTAATTCAGGGAGGGTGGCAAGGGTCTCGTAAAAATGTTACACCCCCGTCCGAGAGGAAGAAGTCGAAGTCGAAGTCGAAGTCGAAGGCGAAGTCGAAGGCGGCAGATAAGTAGAGGAAAGCGTGAAAACCGTCTGTCCTTTTCTTTTTCTTGAATAGAGGACCGGTGAAAATTTACTGCGTTTACGCCGGCTCATTTTCGAGTTTTCCCGGGTGGGACGTAAGCCCGCTCGTAAATTGGCCCGCCCCTGGGACCAACCCCTGGAATTTCTTCGAACAACAACGATAAAGGCAGACCTGCCTCTCAACGTCGTCTTATCGAATTTCCTTTCTTTCCTGCGACACCTGCAGGAATTTCATTACACTCCGACACTGTTCAATCCGGTGTTACTTCGAGCCGGCCATCTTCCGACAGAAATTTCCCACCCCTTTTTCGAGAATCCTTTCGATCGTTAACTTATCCGTGGTCCGAGGAAAATCGATCTAACGATTTGTCGTTATTTTCTGTTTCAGAGAGTGTTCCATGTTCCTGAATCCTCCGATCGACCGTTTGTGCGCGAATAGTTGATGACCGTCAGTGATCTCGTGAAGTTTCCTTGTTGTTCCCCGTCGTTGTGAAAATCGAAGAAAAGTGTCGTCGAACGAAGAAGGGTGCTGGTGTCCTCGGCATGAAGGGTGAGTCTTTGAAATTCGATCCTTATACTTTTATCCCAGCCCGACGACGTTCTCGTAAACACCTAGAAACACGTCTATTGTCGCGTCTCGCACGATAAACGTCTTTGATGATACAGCAATCACGATCAACTTGAAATTTAGCTACAAAAGCTAAAGTTAGCTAATAAATAGCATAGGAAAACTGAAAATGCAAATCGACCGTGAATGTTTTAGCATCCGGAATAATGGTGGACGGAATCTTTGTAGCTGGACCGGCTGGAAATATCGAGAATCAGTGGCGAACGCGGTTACAACGCGTGAACGACTGTTTTCCATAACCTAATTAGCCGGTGAGCCGCATTGTACGCTGGCCGGAATTAAAATTCCGCTCGGCCTTCGAATCCGCCGACTCCCTCGAGCCTTTGACCTTCCACCTTTCCCGGAAAACGATCCGTAAGAAGTTTCCAGAATGGCGTCTGTTGTTGCGCCATCTGGCGTCACCTCTCACAATTATTATTGTAATATCAGTATTTGGGTCATTTTCAATGGTGCTTGAACGCGAGTAGAGTGTTTAAAGAAACTTATCGAAGAAGAATTAAAACTTGTAGGGAATTAAAATTGCATTTTAAGACGCGTCAGACTTTGAAACTTTAGTTTCCGAACGTTTTACGAGGAAAGAGATGAAATGGTTAGCGAGCACTAGCGAGAAAGGAGTTGGCTACCGCGCCATCTGGCGCCACACGCGAGAATTATCGCTCTAGTTGGAATATTCGAGGTTGATAGACGTATCAGAGATAAAACGAAAGGATAGTCGCGCGGTATTAAAGCATGCCTGTTCCATTGAGGATCGGCTTTTCACCGGTAATCGCTCTAAAGTTGCTCTTTGACTATCACTGTCCAATAAGATGGGCATGGCGCGGCGGAAGATTAATCTCGCGATTAATCGCTCGTCCAGTCGGAAACGAGCGTCGAGATCATGGCTCACGATAATGGATTATCACTAGCTAGCCCATAATGCATCGCTCGCTGTCGTGGCCACGATGAATCACCTGTTCGCATTTCTGACGAGACGGCGAGTTTCTTGAAGTGTACACACGCCTCTGATTAACGCGTCGCTGAAAACAGCTAACTGGACGATTAACCGAGCAACGAAATCATTTTCGAAATTTCTTTTCAAAGTAATTCTCCTCGAGTGACCGTCGAATCGTTAACGAGCGTTGTCGACGGCCGGTTAATTAACGTCGAGACGATCGTCGAAGCTTGAATGAATAGGAAGTTAATTGTATACGGTCTGAAATGTGTTTTTCCTAGCGCAAATATTTGTCGGGCTGCTCCCTTCGAAACAGTGCTTGTTTAACCCGTGCACACGTTTCCTTTCTCCTTTCTCCTTTTTCCTTTTTCCTGTTCCTGTTGTATATTTACTCTACGAAATTAAAATTCCATCTGAGAGCTGCGTCGCGTTGCGTCGACGATGTTCACCGCCTCTTCTCCTTCGCCTCGACGACTCGCCTTTCGTCTGCTTTCTATGGAAAACCAACACGGCAGGCTGAGTAATTTGCGACGAAAACGAGAAATAAGGAAAAGCAATAGGAGTACGAAACTACTTTACCAGACCTTTTATAAATATATTATTCGAAATTTTACAACACCTGGCCAATGAGAAGTTTTGTTTAATTATTACCAACTCGGCGAATCCAATATCTCCTACCGAACTTTTCACGGACTTTCTCAAAGTTCTTGATGCGATCTTCAGTTGTGAAAAGTTTGAAGAATTCATCGGTTAGGGTAAAATTATTCGCCGCTTGACGAGCTCAGGCACGAAAGTCGTGTTAATTTAATATAATATTTATGATGGACGGAGAAGCGTCGTCGCCTCGACGAGGAAACTCAAAGTGGCTGTTTCGACGAAGAATCACGAACTGCTATCGTAAAACCGTCAAACCTTCAACGATAAATCGTGAACCGATTCGATGTTCCGTTGTCGAAATAATTCCATTCGAAGCCGACGACAGCATCGAGCGTGGGGACGGGAATAAAATGACGAAATTCGAGGAAAGTTGTAAGAAAAATGAGCATACGACAAACGGGCAATATAACGTAGTATGAAATAAAGTGGAGAATGAAGTTGAAAGTGAATAAATGAGTGGCAAAAACGGAGCAGCCCGATGGTGTCGCCAAATATTTGAGCTGTTTTCGCTGAGTCGTTGGTGTTTTACTTTGCCAACGTGAAAAGAAAACCAACTACATATTATGAAAACGAACACCGAAAAAAAGAAGAGAGGAAGAGAAGGAATACCGAACAAACGAAAGGGAAAAATATTATTCGAAGCTTTCGAGGTTTGAAAAGAAAAAAACAAAAAAAAGATAAAAAGGAACTGTAAGCGAGAGAAAAATGATAGAAACAGAGTAGAGGGTGAATTGAGAAGTGTGAAGATGAAGTTCACGCTTCCTCGAGTACTCAACATCGGATACTCGTCTCGAGAAGAGAAAGCTTTCGTTGTTTAACAAAGAGCCCCGGTCGAAGTTACGCAATAATTACACCGCTGAATTTCCAACCCGAAGAATTTTCAACCTCGGTAATTTGCACGCAATTTTCCCTCGAGCATCTTCAACGACGCCTCTTCTTTGCTCTCCTCAAATCTCCAAACTATCCGTCTGTTGCGTAACGAATCAATTAGAAGAATCGTATACGAGGAGTGCACTCGCTTTTATAAGCGATCGATTCGAACACCGTGTGATGTGTAATTTTTTATTATCTCTCAGGCATAAGATTCAATTTTACGATCGGAAAAGTTCAAGTCAGACGTCCAGTTCGAAATTCACCTATAATCGCATTAAAACGTATCAAGCTAGTGGAACTTCCGTTAATCTATTTCGATGAACTATAACTCGCTAGCCGGTGGAAAGAGTTGGAAAGAGCCGGTCAAACTGACGTTTTTAGAAATTACCTCGAAAAATGTCGATCCCTTTCGCCTAAATAGGATCAATTAATTAACGTCGTTAGATTAATCGGGGGGACGTTTTTGCAGACGTTTTCGCGGACTCTGAATTCCCACTATCTATACCTCGAATTTTCATTGGAAAACTTGTGGAAATATTTATTGCTCGCGTGAAAGGATAAATTCTAGAGAGAGAGTGTAGGTGATATAACGATGGTATTTGCTTGGAAAATGAAAGATCACTTGAATTTATTCATCTCACGATTCTATCGGTCCATTTCCTTTTCCGAGGAATTTTCTCCAACGGAATCTCCCGGTTTTTAATTTCAGTTACGCTTATCTCTGGTGTTTCGTACGTGACGTATTAACATAGATTTACATCGAATCTTTTCGTTCGGTTAAATTCCCTTCGATCTTTCGTTTCAATTTGAAATTTTTTACCCGATTCTTTCTCCAGAAATGGAAGAAATTTTTCAGGGAACATCAGATAAATAGGTGCAACGTTTATCCAACGATTTTCACGATGCTTCGAGCGATCGATAATGGACGCGCGCGCCGGAACCGGTATCCCACCATACTTTGACGCGAATGAAATCGTGTCAGACTTTGGATGTTTCGAAATTGGCCATTTGTTATGCAACAGCTTAATAAACGACAGAGGAACGCGCAAAAGCAAAAGCCCGTTCCATTTTCGACGGCTGAATCGATCGATGCCCCGATGAAAATTCCAGGACCGAAGCATGCCGGGAAACCGTGGAACGTTTCGCGTAATGCATCGGGGTTCTCGGTGAACCGAGACGAGCGTTAACCGGTAAATAACCGATCGATCACAGAGCCGGCGACAAAGTTGACGAGGCGAGATCCTCTACCCCCAAGTTATGCAACACCTAGCCCCGAGGTCATCGATGACCCCGAAACGCTTCGAATCGCTTCGAATTCCTATCTTACCTCCAACCGACAACCCTTCAACAATCGGAGTCTGGGTCGATCGTGACTGAAACTTACAGAAAATAAATATAAATAAAATAGTTTAATCGGAAGTCAAAATTAGTCAAAGTTTGAAGAATCAATCCCTAAGGAGAAATTGAAATTCGAGGTGCGATTTATCGACGGAACGTTATTTAATCTGGATCTATTGTAGTCACCTACGCCATCGCGACGCGTCACCGTCGAAGATCAACAAACATTCCATGCACGGTAATCGATCGAATTAGTTTCCCAAAATAGATTTCATTGTTCACTGTCCCCCGATCCCTCGAATCCGATAAATTCGAGGGAAACTCGTCGTCGGCGACACAGTGTGTACGGTTAATCACCGGAACGACGGTTTAGCCTATTGTTCGCGCAAAGTGCCCATCAATCGGGAATATTTTCAGCCGTTTCCACGCGGTCACTTCTCGCTTCCCATTTACGCAAATTATACCTTGCTATAGATATTAATGCATCGGCACAACCTTCTGCCCCGTTTGTTTGCTACGGGTATTAAAAAAGAATCGAATGAAAGTTATTTTTCTTCAATTTTATTGGAAGTTAACAAGATTTAGATGCAATCTAAACTGTTCCAATTTCACAAATTCTCAGAGAGGCATTTATCGTTTAATCGCTATACACAGCAATACTAATAGTATGTAGGTTATACCTAAAATACGTACAGAATCTAGAATGCATGCCCCAATCAATTATAAGAAATTCTCCAAGTGTCTAAGTAGAAATTTAACAAACATTAAATAGATTGACCGTGTCGAGAAGGTGTTGAAATTATAATATTGTAAATTTCAACCGGTTCCCCGACGACGTTCGACGTCGTTGGGGGAAGTTTGCATTACTTGCAAATGTCCGTCGAATGAATTCAGCAACCACTTTGCGATCCTTCGTGCCTGCCGTTAGAAGCCCCAGGAGAGACAGAAAGCTTTCCCTCTATTTTTGTTTTTATCTGCAAATCAAATTAAGCGGAGGAAGGATCTCGTATAATGTTCGAGAGAAAGCCTTTCCATTCTTTATTCGACTTATTGCCTTCTCCTTTCGTTCCTGGCTGTGAAACGTTCCCCGGCTGATATATGACCACTGGCTTGATTCTATCCG